CTTTAACATTTTGATAGCCGACGTTTAAAATTATCTTTGGCCAGCTTAAGTAGTCTTTTGTGTGTTTAGTCACCAGACTACGTTTAACTACATTTTAAATTTAATTTTATCTTATGTTAAGATATGTTAATTTTATCTTATGTTAACATTAACAATTTTCATAATGCTCCAAAACACCGAACCTACTGAGCCGAAACCATGAACTTCGAACTGAAAGATCTGAGCTCAGTACAGTTTTACGTACTGACATCCCTACATAACAAGTGTGTGTGTGTGTGTGTGTGATTATGGCAAAGCCTCGAGGGCTGTCTGCCTAAGGGGAGGGATGCCTTCGTGGAGGACTTTCTAAGGGAAACTGGCTCGTATACACATTACACATGGGGAAAACCACTAAAACGCCCATGCAGCCAGCCCGTTCGGGGGATTCGAACCTCGGACCGAACTACCAGTGTTCAGCGACTTTACCGCTCGGCCGCTGGTGGGCCCCCCTACATAACAAGAATCAGATGTCCAGTATATTAGTAAAATCAAATCACATGTTTATCCATTTAACATAAAAATGCAAAATTTTCGGTGCAATGATCTCCAAAATATTAACTTTACTGTTTTCACTTACTCCAATATTTTAATGAATATACTAAACAGTTTGCATTATTTATGTAACTTTGTATGTATATAACTTTATATGTAATTTTATGTTATTTCCTTCTTATGTTTAAATGTAACAACTCCGATGTATAATTCCAGTATTACTTAGAAATAGCATATAGTCAGTTCAAGTTTTGCCTATTCTTGCTGTTTAGTGTATTGGGGCAATATCTGTTCGATTCTGTAGTGAAGTGCCTGGTGCCCCATGGACTTTTACCTGTTTACCTTATGTTAAGATCTGTGGGTATGTGAGGAGAGGGGCGGTTCAGAGCATTACGTATTCACATGCACCATAATAACAAGTCTGCACCTGAGAAAACCAAGATTAGAACAAGATTTGAATCCGTACCTCAGATGCGCAATCAATAACAGTCAGGTAAGGAAGCGCATACCCTCCCCCCCCAAAAAAAAACGGGTATCCTGGCGTCAAGGGAAGCTGTTTAACACAGAATGATCCCACTCAAACCAATATGGAAAGGAAAACTCCAAATAATTATTGTTTGAAATTTTAGCTGAAAGTGGTCACAGCAAATAATCAAAACACTTCAAATCACGTGCAGTCTCCATTCAAATAGCATGAAGCACCTAAATACAAAAGCAAGTCAACAAAACAATATGAGTAAATCATAAATGTTCTAAAATATTTCAGCAATTGCTAAAGTGTGTAGTACAACCTACTGAGCAAACTAAAAATCTCGTATTAATAGCTCCATCTGTTAAAATACATAACTGGCTGATTCAAAGCTTAACTTTAGCATAAATGCTATTACAAATTAAAGAAGAACTAAGTATATTATAGGTTGCATTTTCAAGCAACGGATGGCCAGATGTGATGAACAGGCAATCAAGTCGTACGCAATTAAATAGCTCACCAGCCCAAGTCCGGACATAAGACGGAACAACCTATAACATCGCCAGCGATGGCAGGGTTTAAGATGTCAGTTGCACTAGCCAAAAATAGCACTCGATACCAGAACGGCACCGTCGGCCCCAGAAAGACATTGTTAATCTGGATAACTAGTTTAAGGGGTCTTTACCTATACTTAGGGTAAATGATAGAACTTTACCTAACATAACCTTATGTTAGGTTAAATACTCAGAGGTAGCTGAGCTTTGTCTGTCGCAAAAGCAGCGCCTTTCTGTTTATTTAAGGGTTCGTAGCTATCTCGAGACCTAAGGCTTGCATTATAAAGCAGTATGATATTCGAACAACAGCGGTATGATTTGAAACAGCGGAATGATATTTGACTAGTTCTTGAGAACCTAACCTAACTTCGAACCGAAAATTCTGCACGGAAAATTTTGGATTGTTATGTTAAATGGATAAACATATGGGATTTGATTTTACTAATATAATAAGTTAAACACCCGCAGGTAGCAGAGGTTTGTCTGTTGCATAAGCAGTGCCTTTCTTTTCATTTAAGAATAAAATAAAAATGATTACTTTAACCATCTTGGTTATTTGTTTCAGACTAACGCGATAACTCGCTTCTGGACTACTAGGAAGGACATTAACAAAACTTCTCGTAGATACAGCAGAATTCTACAAATTCATTTAGTAAAACTGCTCGCGACATCAACGCATGAGCCAATTTCAAGGTGTCACGAATTGGTAGTCACGTAGTGATGAAAATATGTTGGCAACTATTATTTACAGTTGTAAGATGTAAAAAAACTGCGTGTTGTACAATGCAGCGATGAATGACACCCTCATAATTTAGGTGTTAAACAGTTGTGGGTGACAACCTGGCTGTGCCAATTTTGAACGTTAATTAAATGGAAATGTTAGTTCTTACTGGGGCTGAAGTGATTATTGCAAATAGAATTTAGGACTTTGACTATCTACTCTTTCTTTTAGCAAGTGCTGTTAGATGAGCTTAGAGCGACCGATATTAAAAAAAAGCATTCATAATGGAAAGCTTTATTTCATATTTGGTTAACAGGCATGAGCAAGATTTACCGCATTTCAGATAGGAAATTGTACTAGGTTTTAAAATTAAAACCAAACGTTTTAATAACTTGAGTTTTTTTGAGAGATTCATGATATTTCTGGATACATGGCAGCACCTTTTCTTTTAATTTTCCTCCCTTTTGTTTAAGTTAAAAGAGCAATTTTACAACAAATGTGACTAGCCGTTTGGAAGAATTTTCTTTGATGTAATGCGTCATTTACAATTTTCAGAGGCTAACTGGCCTTTGCTTATTGTTGCAAGGGCTGATCACAGGACAACTATCATTATTATAGCTATATTGTCACTTTATAACTATACATTACTAAGCATACAAAAAAGAATAAATGCAAAGCGAAAAGCAGTTCCCCCCCCTCGATTTTTTAGTTTTTGATTTTTTTAAATTTTGCATGTTTATTCCGAATTAAATATGGGATGAATTTTAAACGTATTGTTTATTTGCATTTATCTTGCATATTACGACAGTACAGCTAAACATTGATTTGGCTAGGCGGATCGGAGCTAGGGCTTCAAATCAGATCAAATTTAAATGCTTCCTGTTTTTAGCAATGCTTTAGCTCCTAGTCAATCAAATAAGTCAATCTGTATTGCCTGCGCCATTAGTAGCCAAGTAGATGAGAGTGTTGATCATTGATTTGATTTTTCGATTGAAAATCTCTTGCGAAAGCATTTCTCCTGCTAGACAAATAGCTTTTGCATGTTTTGCCATCAACAAACAAGCAAGCAAAGGTAAGATGCAATATATAAGAAGAGAGTATGCGCTCTTTTATGGCTTTAAATTTTGATGCTAAACGCATATTTTCAATCACATAGTTTCTTAAACTAAGGTATAGAAGAAAAAAGGGGGTTGGAGGCACAGAACATTTATTACTTAAAATGCAAAAATAAAGAAAAATATGTCTGAAAATGTTAATAAACAATAAATAAGAAATATATTTTTTTATAATATTCTCGCTTAAGTAAAATCTCAGTTTGTTTAATATATAAGGTATTTCTCCCGCCTTCCTAGCGTGACTTCGTGGTGTGGTGGTCTGCACACTGGGCCGGTATTCCAGAGCTCCGTGGTTCGATTCCCGGCGAAGGCGTTGCTTATTTTTCATTTTACCTGCTCCCAAAAATACCTAATGTCTCTGCAGGGGCGCACGAACTAAAAGGGTGTTGGATGATGATTCTCCACACCCAGGATTTGGTGATAGGGTCCCCTAGAAACCCCAATCGCCCTTTAAAAGGGAGAGTATATAAAGTATTTCTCCCGCCTTCCTAGCCTGCCTTCGTGGTGTTGTGGTCTGTACACTGGGTCGGCATTCCAGAGGTCCGTGGTTCGATTCCCGGCAAAGCCATTGCTAATTTTCTATCTTGCCTGCTTTCAAAAAATTCCTAGTGTCTCTACAAATACTTTAAAAAAATTACAAACTATATGATACATACGTTTCCTGGAAGATTATGCGGAGATATCCCAGAAGAAGTTTTCTGAGTTAGGTCCTTTTTTAGTGTTTGGCTGTTGTATTTAGTGTTTGATGGTTAGAATTAAAGTCGCTTCGTTTAATTTCAAGAATTGTGAGAAAAAATTTAAATATGGTTTATGAAACAAACGCTACACATTTTTAAGATGAATGGTTATATATTGGATAAACAATTGCAACTGTGTTAGTCCAGCGTTTTTTAGAAGAAACGCAGAGTATGTTTTTGAGTTTTGTGCATAAAGTTACAGAATGCTTTAATTCTTTAAAGCACGAATATTTGGAAAAAAAAAAAAAAAAAAAAAAAAAAAAAAAAAAAAAAAAAAAAAAAAAAAAAAAAAAAAAAAAAAAAAAAAAAAAAAAAAAAAAAAAATGGAAACTTTCTGTATGTGGATACTACTTGTATTAAATTAGATTTTATTTTTTAAAAACCTCTCATCACTTGAAGTGTCGACACATGTTTTGTAAGAATTTGCACCTCTTGCGAAGAAAATTTGAATTTGAAAGTCTTAGATAGATATGCCAGGAACCAACATGTAATCAACCATTCTGAATACCTCATATAACAAAGGAAAATGTGCAAACACATGATATAGAAGTAATTTAATATTTTTCGTTAATTTAATTTTTCATTCTTAATATTTCAAAGCAATATTACACTCTTTTTATTTTCCGTTTTCTTTTATATTATGTTCTAATTATTGAATTCATCTAAGTAACTCATCTTTACTATTGTACATGTAAAAATAAGAATAAACAGAGCTATCACTTGAGCATATTTTAATTCAGGTCTTCCGTTCTACTGGAGGAAAGTTCATCTTTGCATGCCTGATCTTTCATCTTTTTAATCTTTAAAAATTTGCATTATAGTGGAATTTTTTTTATTATGTTAAAAAGGGTTCTTTGTCATTTTCATTTGCAGGTGCTGAGATGTTGGTAGAAATGCTTTGGATTCTCCTTCAGTGCTGTTCTTTGGGAGGGATGCTCGTCGGCTCTGTAAGAGGTGCATGCATTTCGTTCCTCTAATACGAATTGTTTTATTTTTTTTCATTATGCTCACAGAAAAGTATCGACATTTTTCTAAATTTTTTTAAAATTCTAAATTTTTATGATTAAAATCAATATTATAACTAGCTTTTTTAAGCTTGCATCCAGCGTTCTAGCTTAAAAATGCTTTTACGGTGTGTTTGTACATTGGTATTTTTACATACTTCGCAGAAGAAATAAAATGATCAGTTTAAGGTTCAATGAAGGGTAAATTTGTATCTTCATTTTCCGTACATATTTTCCGTACATATCGCAACTTTTTCCCTAAAAAAATCCCGCAAAGCACTAGTTGTTAGAAGCTAGCTTTCGATTTCTTTGCCTTGATTAATTAACAAGAAAAGTCAGAATTAGTGAAAACTAAAACAAAGCAAAGGAAGAACTGAAGCATATGAAAAGATATCACACGAATATTGATTTGGACATGTTGATAAAATAAGAAGGAATATAGAGGAAAAACTGATAGATTAGAAACATTATCACCATCTGATTACATTGCCAGGAATAATCGTACGCCCTTTATTTCTGGAAATGCAGTTGTGGAACTAGCAGCAGAACCAGGTTATCTGTGTGTTTTGAAACTAATATTCTGGAAAAAACCCAGCTATATTGCTCTGTAATTTAACACATAAAATAGATTAAATTCTGAATTTTCTTAAGAATTTCAACTGAGGAAAGTGTTTGTACAGTATCATTTAAATTTCTAACACGTTATTTTATGTTTATATGCTTTTCTATCAGTCTCGTTTCTATTTCTCTGCTGGAATGTAAATTTCTATCTCGCATGGTATTCAAATGAGATAGAAAGTACAGACTATTTAAAGGAAGGTTTTGAAGAGTAAAATCAGAGCTTGTTTTGTCTGCTTGAAGGCTACCTTGTTAACTTTGATTCTCTCGATCAGTATCCTGTGGTACTGAGTTATTCTTACTATTAGGCTTGTTTACACCGATTTCGGTCAGAGCCAGCCTGGACGCTAGTTACACTGTAAAATCTTTAAGCTATACTTAATTTCATTAGTTTTAGTTCATCCATTATTGATTTAAGCCAAAGCTATAGGATTCTATAAGCACGGGTTGGTGCCGACTATTTAACTTTCTTTATGTTAAATAAAGGATACTAAACTAAGCCCTTTCCTTGCCTCTGTGGTGCAAGACATACTAAAAATTTACCAATTGTCTTTTTGAGTTCCGATCTAATTTTATGCTGCTTAAGAAGACCAGACTCTATATGTTGAAGACAGTAATGACAATTAGGGAGATTATTACTTCTGCTAAAACTATATATACGTACCTGATGAATAAATAAAGGCCATTTACATGTCATCTATGAATTCTATTCAAATTATTAAACATGGACATTCAAGTTCAGAAGACTATTGGTAGATGTATAGAATATTTCAACGTTGCCTTTCACTGCAATATTAACCACTATTGGCAAACATGAGATAATCCACTTCGAATTCGGATGCAGATACCGTATTATTTGAAAATGTCAGTCACCTTTCTCATGTATACAGAATTTTCTGAAATATAGAACAATGTTTTTAAAAATGTTTTTAAATGCTAAATATGCCATAGATCCAATATTTAGCACTGCAGACTACCTGAAAAATGAATATAAAATTTTTTAATTTGTTGGAAATCTTTTACGAAATTGTTCCCCTGGAATCTTAATAGTAGCATAAAAATTATTCTCCTTTCTTTTTCAAATATATAACATCAGGAATGGAATTCAAATTAGCACTCAGTTCATACTATTTAATATTGTAAGTTTATATGCGCTTTGAATTTTAGAACGAGAGTTTCTGGCAAACGCGTCGCGCTATTAGAACTCTTTGCCATCTCTAGCTGAAAAGTGATTATTTCGGCTTTTGCATTCTCTCGCTAGCCGATACTTTAAGCTTACGCGCCGGTAAATTAATTCAGACAGCTTATAGCTTATTTCATTGAATGCGTAGTCTTAGACTACATTACCCACTTTTCAAATGAATTGATTGCTATTGCTCAATTTACATCACCACAAGTTCCCGTTAGTCTGTAGCGCAAGTCGTGCCTTTTATATTTTAAGTTCAGGATTCAATAAAAAAATATTTAAACCTTCTCAAGATTTTATCATAATATTACAGACGTAGCAATAACTCGCTAACTTGTTTAGTAAAGTCTATAGGACTCTCTAAGGTTGCTATTAATCTGTAACTTCACCTAAGATTAATAGCAACCTTAGAGTTCACTAAAATTTTATAGTTAAACTCATAAGACAAAATTATTAACAGAAAAATAAATGCAATAACAAATATCTGAAACCTTTCTAAGCAGAGATTTATATTTTAAAGTTTTTATTGCGTAAATCTATTAATATATTCCAAATTTCCTGCTGTATTTATGCACGTAAATATATGTATTTTAAAACAAACTGAATTATTTCTATTGACAAAATTTTCTAGAAACAATCACAAATGATCATTATTGAAGCAATAACATAAAAGTTGCTCGTGTTTATTTACTGAAACTCTATTCAAGCTACCCAGAAATATCAGAGCATTAATAAAAGATATCATGTAATTAAATCAGAGGTTTCACAATAAACAAATATACTAAACAATACAGCCTGATGTTGTTTAGTATACTTGTACGGGTCCATTTTCCGTATGGTAACTTTGTAGGAATAAACTCTTCCGAAGTTAAATAGAATACAGTCCTTGCCTTTTTTAGAGATTTCATGATAAAGTACCATACAGAAAACAGTATGATAGCAAATATAGCAAATTCTTTTCTGATATGTTTAATTAATTCATATGAAAATGCAAAATAAGTATCATAGCGTTTATTTGAACGTAATAACCGCATGTAAAAATATTGTAATTTGTTCAATTACTTCTCATTTCTCCATTTATACTTAAATTTTGCTTTTAACGGCATGTTAAAATTAAAATAAAAAACAGTAAGTTTTAAATGCTTTTATTTCATAAAAAAGTTTTGCATAAATGTTGTGACAAAAAATTCTCTATATTCGGATATACTTCCTTTTTTCGTTAGAACGAAAGAAAGGAAGATAACAGAACTTCAACTTTAAAGCAGTGTAAAATATTTTCAGAACTGCTGCAGATTCATTTCGCATTATGAAGATAATAATAATCTCAATAAATTCGTCACATTAGATTTTCTCTGACGAATTCTGTAAATCAGTGGTCTCAAACTAGCGGCCCCCGAAGCAATTTGATGCGGACCCCAATATGTTTCAGTTATGGTTTTGCTTTAATACACTGCTTATATAACATAAATTCATTGTGCAGTTGATTGCAATGTAGAGTTTATTAAGGATACAGAAAAGCATCAGGAAACATTTCAGCAATCAATACATTTCAATTAAGTTCGAAGCTAGCCCTGGCACATAGGTAAAAGTATATATATAACGCATATAACAAGTGTTTTGAGAGACCTGCAAAAGAAGCCAAGAAAAAAAAAATGATACTAAATCATAGCATCTCAAGAAGTAATAGTTTAAAATATAAATATAAATAATATTAGAGACATATAGATTGTATTTATATGCGCGATTGCTGTTGAAAGAAACAGAAAGAATAGATTTACGATGTTATTTAAATGAAAAAAGTTATAGATTTTGTATGCTTGCATGCCAAACTGCATGACTGGGCTAAGGTGGGAGTCAGGTACAATCAATAAATTTATTCTTCAAACCGACAATTGGCAGAACATTTATATTCTGGTGTGTGCGTTTATTTTTTTTTTCGTAATGAGCTGGTACTGTAACTTTCTATTTTGGTACGATTTTGAGTCAGTCACTAGCTGGTAACTTTATATGTACAAGTAACGCAATTCATATTGCTAAGATGATGGAGACTAACATACAACCTATAAAACCTTTATTTATGCTTGTCGTAAGATCCACGTTACATCAATGCCAGTCATTTCAAATTGGGTGAAATGTTTGGGTCTTGCTTTCATATGAAATTCATCTTATTGCATTAAAGCTGTAAATAAAATTATAATTATGATTTTAATTAGTAGATTGAACTGGAAGCCATGTCTTTAACAAGGGTAAGAGAAAAGCAACAAAAGATGGAAGCATTTATCAAGATAAACTGAAATTGTGTACTTTTGTGATATTATGCCCAATAAAACTGTATGTTTTATTTATAATAAAGGAATATAAATTTCAAAAGAATACAATTTACGTCGCCATAACGGAACGAATTATAACGAAAAATTTGAAATGTTGGAAGATCCCATTAAATGAAGCTTATTTCGTATCAAATAAGAAAACAGCTTACAGTTAATTAAATGGTATTCATTTGAAAGGCGCATTAAGAGATGAATGATTGTGCTCAACATCTATTCTCAGCCATATTTTTGTATTTCACTTTAAGAGAACAAATGAACGGATTTATAATTTACTTACGATGATCTTTTGCTACTGTTATTATAGATAAGGTTATTTTTCCTTTCCTTGGAAGCAAATATTATAGCATAACAGCGGAATCGTTTTGAAAACTTTAAAAAGGTCAAAATAACAAAATTAGCAGCATATGACAATAATATGGCTCAAAACATTCGTAGCCAAATTTTTTTAAGATTCCATTCTAGTACCAGAAAAGTAGTATTTTCTTAATTACCTTTAACATCTCCCTATTATGCATTGCTCTGTGAAACAGTAGCACCAAGAAAGAGTTGTCACATCGATACGAGATTCGGTCAGATGGGTTGCTTATGACTCAAAAAGCAAGTGACTACAAGCTCAGCTGTATTTGATAATAGGATGCTCTCTCAATGAAGGTTAAAAGAAATCCCACTGATTCAAAAAAATGCAAACGTCTCGAAGAGTTCATCAGAGCACCCAACTAAATTAGTTTGTGAGTATACAAAACGTGCATTGGCAGAAAACAAAACATCATTAACATTTAAGGGAATTCGAAAGACGAAAAGTTATTGGATTCAAAG